GGTGTTTCCATATAACAACGGCCATTATATTGGCTAATTCACTTTGAATTAAGTCAGTCTGATTGAGGCCTAACTTATTAATTATATCCGGTGAATATTATTCAAACATCATGTCATCCGAGTCCGAATAGACAGTTTTATTGTGAACTCTCAGTTTTTTTTCTTAAAGCAGGCGTTATTCCCCAAACTAATTGTTATTTAACCTACGTATATTACGGAGGACAAAGACATAATAAAAACCTTCAATGACAGTCTCACATATTAGTATTAAAAACGCTGTTTCTTTCGGACGACACGATTGGCTCTCTCGCCGTTGCTTTCCGATATGTCTGATTCATAGGCGGTGGACCTACGAGGCCTGGATAGGCTCAAACTAGTACATATAAAGGCTTGAATAGGCTTGATTTAACGTATAACTTTTCTAATATTAGTTAATTTTCATGTTCTTCTGACAGATGATGCATTATTACAAGGATAGTCTGCATTTTATCTATTACAAACTCGTGTACATAGGCATACTGATTGGTTTTCGTGGACATCTATATCTACGTTTAATTCTTTATTTTCAACATAAGATAATTTAATTGTTGTTATAAACTTCTATTCAAAATAACTTTTGAATTTTAAGTAATAAAGAACAGTACACTTCCATAGCAGAAGGGGCCACAAGACCTGAGTAGGCTAAAGTTCATTAAAATTCAAGTTTCATGGCCTAAGGGAGATTCAAACAGTTGTTTCTTATTCTATCAGATAAACAGACTTGCTTAATGCTTGAAAGGTTTTGCTGTCATCACCGGCAACTACTTACACTTTTAGGAAAAAAACTGAGTTTCGTATGACTAAGTGTTGTAGTATACATTGGTAATGAGTTCCCATTATATTGTTTTGTTACATTTGAAGAATACCCTCACAGAATCTTGCAGCCATATCTACTGGATAATGCCCAATAGTTTCTCCCCCTCAGCTGTTAATCTCAGATGTCAACCACACATTTTCAACACGCTGAACTAATCCACAATGAGATTCCTTCTCTGGGAGCACTACTGCGTCGCCATAATCTTAATTTCCAGTAGTACAAATCAAAAACCTTTCGCAGAGTGCGGCTCATCAAATAGATTTAGAATGTAACCGATCCTAGTTTTGATTCTGAATCTGAAATACTGCTATTGGCCAGAGTCCGATCTGAATCCAGGTACAAGTCCTCGAATTCAGATCTGATGGTGCTAGCTGCATGTAAGAGCTATTAATAACTTGGTTATTGCTATATTGTCGTCAAAAATGTTTGAAAATTGTGTAAGGTGTGCTAGTCATTGGAAAATTAATCGATAAAACTGCAGAATCTTCAAAATAATTATCCAATTTGGAGTAAAAGAATTGCATTGAGAGTACGAAGACTATCAACCCAGATTTGGATCCAAATTTTTACATCCGATGGACTATATTTGTAGATCAATATTCAATCAAGACAGAAGTTTAAGTGGCTCTTTGAATACAAGTTTTGTTTGCCATAAGTTGCAAACTCATCTCTGATCTGAACTAATGTTAGAAATTAAAAAAATGTGCGTTCGAAATAAGCAGTATTAATTGTGTTTTATTTGAATGGTATAAAAGAAGAAAAATTACTCTCTCTGTCTCTAACCCGTCGGTAAAATCAGAAGATCTCGATTGAGCAGCTTCAGCTGTGGCTTACACGAAATCATTCATGTGCAATAGGTTCTCATAGAAAAAAATTTCTTTTTGATTTATTTTATCTTTCTCTTTGAAAGTAAAGAATTCATTTATATTTATTCTTTAGTATGAAAAAAAAATAAAAAAAGAGCAACATCCCTAGTTGAGAAAAAGAGATTGCTTCTATGAGATAGAAGAAATGCAAAACTTGAGAGGATGTCATCTTCGAGTTCAATACAGAATTCGTCATTATTGATCGATTGTTATGAAAAAAAAATCGCAGGAACAATATCTTTATTCCATCAATAATAATAGGAAGTGTTCTAAAAATAACGTACCAAAAAGAAAACCAATTATTTCCATTATATTTTCAACTGATTCAGCTGATTTATTTCTAGTGTTAAAAGAAAACTCCAAGTTTTTTGAAACATTCCCTGGTGAATCTATTGTGTATCATTATTTACTCTCGTTGCTTGGTTGAATTGATTGTTCATACATGAAGTTTAACCTTTCCTTATCATTTCTTCGTATCATATGCTTTGTCATTCCCTTGTTCTTTCGTTTAATCACATGCTTTGTTCTCCCTTTTGTCTTTACTATGTATCATTGACCATCTGTCTCCTTGACTCTTCTCCTTTCTTCTCTCGTCTGGTTGCGTATATAAATGTGTGGTTCGTATGTAAATGGTACGATTAGTGATATGAAGAAGCTCAATAAACAGTAGTTTCACCTGCGCTAGCGACTCTTCTATCTAAAATCGACACATTTTTAGACGCAAAGATAAAGCTTACAAATACCGCTAGAAACTATTACTACTAACATTAGTCTCAAACTGCAACTTTGTTTCAATATGACAAAATCTGTATTTTGAGAAAAATGCGAAACAATGTACAGTTTTTGCTATTTTCGTTATGTAAATTTGATTTCTTCTATAGTTTTCTAAAGATTTAAAGATAATTTGCAGGTTCCAAAGTGTAGTCATTAGATAGACACTACTTGAGACAATCCAATGGCCAGAAAAAAAACAAAAACGAAAACCCAAAAATTTTGAGTCAGAGAAGGGATACCCTTAAATAGAACACAAAACACGTCAACGGTCATACATTAGATCCTTTACTTCATTGCTTTTTTCAAAAGTCACTCAACTTTAATTGTTTATTAAACTCTCCACCAGAATAAAAGGCCATGGCCTTCTATTGTAGCTTTTAAAGATATGCCTCAGAGATGGCCTTCTAATATGAAGTGGACTTCTATTCTGAAGGGAAAGTTCAGTATATTACCTAGAATTCGAGCTTTTCACCTTCAATAACACTTGAACAAGTTCTATAAAACTTGGTAAGATCTAGTTTTCAAGCTCCAACAACTCAACACTTTGATCTCGCAATTTCTGAACGACATCAGATTGAAATCGCTGATGTTCAATCACTTTTGCAGTAGAGTTCTAGAAATCTTGGAGTACCATTCTTTCTGCTTTCAAAAAGTTGAAAGTTGAGTTCAACTTTTCAACGCAAAAGTTAAGTTGATTAATCAACGTAACTCGCGATCAACTTAAACGTATCACTCCTATTCACGAAAACTTGACAGTTGTATGAGCGTAGAGAATTTCAAAAAATTTCCAGAGTTTGTTTTTTTCGAAAACTTGCTTTCTTTTTTCCTTCTGAGAAACCTAATTTTCGAACCATCGTCTCCAATGTGATCGTGTTCGGCAACAAAAGTATTGCAGACTTGTCTGCGTTGAATACGAAGACATTTTTCTTTTCGATAAGACTCCAAGATCAAATAGACTATTTTAGGAATCTTTCAAAATATTTACTTTACGAAAAATTATTTTGAGTTTTGGGTCAATTTCTGAATTTTTTTCAAAGTTCAAATTTTCGCATCAAAGCCGATTAGAAACAACTAGGTTATTGCGCATTTTAGGTCATGAAAAACCAGCAGCTGTCTCAGTTACTAGAGAGCTGCGAGAAGAAAAAAAGATAAAATATCTTAATGTAGATAAAAGATGATAGATTAAATCAAAACTGTTATAATGACAAAAAATACACCTTGATAAAAGTATTGTTTGACATATAGTTCTTTCTAGAAAAGTCCAAATCAAGAAGATGGATCAATATCGTTTAGTGACAGTCGTTGGTTCTACTGGGGCACAAGGTAATAATTACAATTCTTGTTCCGCTTTCTATCAAGATTATTACATGTATTTAAGGAGGCGCTGTTGTTCGATCACTATTGAAAATGGACAATTTTAAGGTAGGTCATGACAAGATCTGTATAGTCTCTGGTATAATTTGATCCGTTTCCAGATTCGATGCTTAACGCGGAACCCAACGAGTGAAAAGGCAAAAAAGCTTCAAACCTTAAGCGATACTATTGAAATTGTGCAATGTAATATACGGAATAAGGATGATCTATTACGTGCGTTTCAAAATAGTTGGGCAATATTTGCTATGACTGACTTTTGGGCAACACCAACGCAACCCGAAATTGAAATCGAACAAGGCAAATTAATGGCTGATGTAGCTGCAAAATTAAATATCAAATATTTTATATTTAGTTGTGCAATCAACGTTAATAAACTGAGTGATGGTAAATTGTAAGTACACAACACGATGGATTATCAGTTTTCTTTAATCAGATTTGTGTCTTATAATCTTAGAAACGTACCACAATTCAGCGATAAAGCCATCGTACGAGAATACATTTCACAAACATATCCAGAAATGAAAACTATTTATGTTATGCCAAGTTTTTATTTTCAAAATTGGACTGGTTCATATCCGTTACCGATTAAAAAGTTAAAAGATGGCACTATTGAATTTAGTTTACCAATGTCATTGCATGGTAAACTTCACAATATTGATATTGATGATCTTGGTCCAATTGTTAGTCATCTTTTACAAAATCCGGAAAACTTTATTGGTCAAGATATATATGTTTGTGGCGAAGAAGTTGACTTCGAAGAATTTGTTAGAATATTTACACGTGTAACTGGTCGACAAGCTCAAGCAAAAACAATGACAGAACATGAATTTCGTCAATGGGCACAAGATTTGCCTGAAAATGTGCAAAATTATTTATTAGATATGTTTAAATGGATGGAAGTTAACGGTTGTTATACACCAGAAATCGATTGGAGAAATGGGCAAATGTTAACAAAATTAAATACATTTGAAACATGGTTAATTAAAAGTGGATGGATGGGACCGGATTGATTTCTTTTCAAATCATAAAGTTTTCACGAAAAAAAGTGATACCGACGATGCAAAAAAACTGAATTCTAATCAACCTCGATATTTGAACAGTATTATATGTACTCACTGTGAGACTATAAAGGACACTGCGACAATAATTATATAATTCCGTTATGATATTATCACTTTCTTTCTTTCTTTCTCCATTTCTTCCTCCTTCTTTATTATTCTTACTGCTTCCTGATTTCTCCTCCCCTCCTCCCTCTCTCTCCTATGTAAACTCGTGTTCTATCTGTAATCAGCACGACTTGTCATGTAAAGAGATGCAATGAATCTATCGGCCATTGTAGACCAGCTCTTGCTTCAAGTTCGTCAAATTAGTATTGAGATCACATAGATTTCGATACAGATGGATATGTTCTATGTATATATCTTGAGAGCACGGCGTGGTCATCAACAGAGAAAGAGACAGAGTACTAATACAACACATAGCATGATACCATACGTTTCAAAGACAGCACAGTCAGACGATGACGAAATGACAATCAAATTATATGTCGTCCGATTACAAATCAGCTACTTTATCAGCTGAGCTCTGCGAAACAACTCCACATGCTAAATACTTCCACATTTATCTATTCTCTACGCTAATCGGATATCTCTGTGTAGACCCATGACAATAAGAACAAAATGACAAATGTTAGTAGCAACGGAACGAAGGAGACGTAATAGCCGACAAGAAAGAGATTGACTAAATCATGAACGAATTAGATCCATTCAAGAGTGAATGCGAGAACGAGACGAAGCAAAGCGAGTATGATCAGAGCGAGTGGGCTGATAATGAGATGTTTATGTAAACAGTTACAGAATCTGGGTGTGGGCGTGGGTATCGACATCTTTATATCAACACCCACACTCACACCTTTGATTGATTTCAGCAACAGTACGTGTCTACAGCTCAAATGCGGCTGACGATAGCATACGTTGAAACCCATTTTATCACACCTATATCGATCAGAAAATGAAACGCGTTCAAACCTGGATTGCGTTCAGATATGTTTGTCCATTTGAACACATCTAGATGCATCCTTAAACCGCGTTTGAGCGCGTTTCTTTACCACTGTCCTTGACAGCCGCATTTAAACGCATCCAAAAACACATAAACGCGTTTTGACTGCGTTTGAAAGTTACATGGGTGATTAACTCAATGATTTTTCAAATATAACATGTATCGTTGATTTTCATATTATTTTTGGGATTGTGAAACTTCAAACTATCTAAAAAATGACATTATCAAATACTCATGAAATAATTCAATAATGCTGTACTGACCAACGAACGGAACAATGCCGTCTTCGATCTTTCTAAAGAATAGTTTTACAACTTTCTAATGAAGTTTTTCAAAAATATAGGCAAAGATACACCGTGTTTAGAGCTACGACATATCCAAAATCCAAGCCGGCAACTCTCATTTTGCTAATACTTTCTTTCATGATACTAAAATTCACGACCGAAACTATATTCTTAGTTTTCTCTGATTTGATCACTTTCTCAAAACAGAATTGCATTCATAAAATAGTAATAGAAATAGTTTATCGTGTAGATCAACAAAGATGTTAGTGTGAATGGCGATGTGTGGAGTGTGCGTAGATGTGGATGTGAATGAAAAGAATCTTCAAACCCTTACCCACAACTATGCATGCCCACATGCATCCACACCCACATACACATCCTTCTTTGCCCTTGATTGACCTTTGTATTCCTTTCTATCGCTTTCTTTGTTCTCATGTTCGTATATATACATTTGTTTTTCACAAAATAAAAAAAGAGAAAAAGCGAAAGCTTAACATCATCTATCTTTTCGCTAACACTTATATGTAGGCGTTTGGATGACAACATTACACTAATTATATGCTTCCATTAACTTTCCGTTTCTTCTTTTATCGATTTTTGCCTTTTTGTATTATATGTTGGGGTGAATAATACAATTAGTTGAATAGTAACATTTTGATAAACTCTGAAAAGAACTATCCACGATTTGATCTGGAGTTGCTACCTATTTGCAATGAATCAAAAGCATTAATTAGTTATTCATAGACAAATATACTAATAACAAGAATGGCTATTTTCCAGTGTCCGATATGGGTCAAGTTTTCGTGAGTCGACTCATTTCGTAGTTGGATACAAAAGATATTTCCTTAACTGTTTTTCGTTCTTTATGTTTCCTTGATATTGCACAGTTGGCACAGTAATCTTATGTGATAGGACTTTTTCTTGTTCCTCTATCTAGCCTCATATGAAAAGTCTGAGACTTCTATACCTGCATTTAACAGACAATGGATTAGTTATGTATGGTAGCCTCATACCAATAAAGAATAAAAGAAGATGCAATACGTACATTGTTGTTCTATAAAGCCTTTTCATTCTCTCTGACACAACTTCAAAATGAAAAAACATCCAAATGTCTAGATTGCTGATTTAACCAGATCTGAGCCGAGTCGGACACTGCTATTTTCTGCTATTCTTTCTGTCTATCAAGACATTGTAATCGATAATTTCATGTCATAATTAGTGAGTATTACATCAGGATGATTGCAATGGAACAACGAATGATGAAGAGTAACCCAAACTATTGAACTTTTACATATTAGAATATAGCGGTATCATAAAGTTGTAATTCATTCATATATATACATCATTTATCCGACTTTTCAGACACAGTTTCTCTGTATGTTTGACAAAGTGTTTGTTTTATTTTAACATAGTTTAGTAATTGCTATTATGTATTATTTTGAGTAAACAACATATAATAAGCGCCACATCGTTGCATTAGTTCTGTATGAGTACCACTCTCAACTATATGTCCCTTATCGATGACACAAATTAAATCACATGAACGAATAGTTGAAAGACGTTGAGCAATAATGAGTAATGTTCGACTAGGATCTTCTATTTGAGCTGCTTCAAGAGCTTGATGAACCATCTACAATTGAAAAGTGAAACTTCTGTTGATAAACAGAAAAATAAACTTACTTGTTCATTGTGTGAATCCATGGCACTTGTAGCCTCATCTAGGAGCAATACTTTAGGTTGACGAAGAAGTGCTCGAGCAATGGCAATACGTTGCTTCTCACCACCTGACAAAAAACTGCCTTTCATTCCTACCTTTGTCTCATAACCCTGACAATATGATAGAACACTATTAGATATTCAATGTCATTTTTTATTGACTGACCTGAGGTAGTCGCTTTATAAAATCATGAATATTAGCTTTCTTTGCTGCATTGATAATATCTTCCATAGGAACATTCTAATCCATATCCTATATTTTCAGCAATTGTTAAATCAAACAAGATTGGCTCTTGACTGACAAGACCAAAACAAGAACGAACCCAGCGAATGTTTAATTGTCGAATGTCAACACCATCAAGAAGCTAGATTTGATTAACAAATTTCGTATAATCACTTCAACTATATAATATTAGAGAAATCCTAACCAGCTGACCATGTCCAACATCATAGAATCGTTCCAACAATTGAATGATCGTTGATTTACCACTGCCAGATGCACCTAAATCAATCATATTATGTAAACAACATTTAAGAGACCGTTAATTGAAACATACCAACAAGAGCTACACATTGTCCTCATTTGGGAGTAAAAAGAAGAAAATAAATAAGATAAGTCGAAAATTTATCTCACTTACCTGGTTTAATATTTAATTGAAATTTATTAAGGACAATAGTTGTTGGCCGAGTTGGATAGGAAAATTTAACTTGATTAAATTCTATCGCTCCATGAAAGTCAACCTAAATGAATCGTATTATATCTAGGATAGAAGTGCACGGTTCATTAAAAAAAAGAATGGGTCAGTTACGTAACCGATCGAAAGAAGGAGAGGTTAGAGTGACAGAACAAAAAAGGTATGCTCTTCGCGAGACTTAAACTACATATTTTCTGCTTACCGAGCAGACACATTATCACTATACCAGACGAGACAACACTCTCTCTCGTCTGAAATTATTATCTTAATATGCATAATCTAATAGGTTCTCTATATTCTCTTACCAATTCTTGTCCTTCAGTTGATGTATTATCAATTGCTGGTGTTCGATCAAATAAATCAAAGAAACTTTTAGCAGCAGATAGTGATGTACCAATTTGAGCAGACCTGTATAGGTACAACAGAATATAGAATTAATCGATTATTAACAATCTCTCACATGTTGTCGATGCTTTTCAATATTTGAAAAGCAAAAATAGCAAAGGCAAGGATTCTAGAAAAATGAAAATATAATAAAATATTGTCTCTTCAACTTATTCAATGGTAGATGTAATTACGTGACAATACTGTTCAAGTTTATTTTGTTCTGCTCAACAAGAACAAGAGCACGCCAATATAGGAATGCCGAAATGTATGCGTCGGATCCCCAAAATAAACTCAATGGTATTACGCGTAATAAGGAATATTTCTGAAATATTCTATGAAAAACAAAAACAGATTGAAGATTTATATACATATAGTATTTGACAGACTAACATGGATATGTCATGAATAAATTCAGAATATTTTTGTAAAACTTCCTTTTCTACTGACAACTGTTTGATTGTACGCATATTGTGAATGACTTCAATTGCCAGCTACAAAAGAAAAGGATTTATCAAATAATATATGATAGATTAGTTTTTTTTTCACACATAAAAAGATTTTATGTAACAGTCTGATCTTACTTTGTTTGCTTGTCTATGAATGAGACTGGTTTGTTCATTCGAACACATCTGCAACCGCACACTCAAAAAAAGAGCAATAATAAGGATCAAACACGGAACAAAAATAATTATTGTCAATTGCCAACTAAAAAGGATGCCAAGTAGAAGACCAACACAAGTCAATGCTAAATTTTCACAGATAACTCCCAATCTTGTGCCAATCATCTGTTGAATGGCTGATGCATCAGTTGAAAGATGAACGCAAAGAGCACCAGAATTATTTTCAGATCTATCGAAATAAGCAACCTCTTGACGAAGAAGACATGCAAAAGCTTTTGAACGAATACGTTGTGTCAGTTTTGAGCCCGATATGGCAAAAGCCAAGAACTACACAGAAAAGTGGAAAAAAATATTGATAAAGGTCTATCTCAACATTTTTACTTGAAGAAAACGAAGAATCAAAATAATAAGACCCAAAAGTAAAAAGAGAAAACTGGAAGTTAATACTTGACGATGTCGTTCAGAATGTACACAATCTTTGAATGTCTGGAAAATAAACATAACAATTATCTTTTTGCAAAATGTCCGTATGAACATATTATTCACATTGATTATGTTGACAAACAGAATTGCAAAGATTGATTCAGCAGCTCCATTAAGTAGACTTGCGATACAACCGATCAAAATGATGATCCATTCTGGACTGTTCATTGACAAGAGTCTCTGAAAAATGTATTGATGGCTTGATGAAGTTGAGCTTTTCTAAAAAAAACGAAGAGATTATCGATATTGATTTCTATAAATAAATGTATATTTCCTCATACTCTGTCTACATCAGCAGCTTGGCTATCACTAAGCAGAGATCGTTCAACTATTCAAATAAATATGTTTAGAACAGAAGATGAGGACTATAATACTCATAATATATCAACATACAAATCTGTTTTTCATCTTCTTCATCTGGTTTTGCCATGCTCATTATATCAACTTTACTATTATTTATTTTTTTTATTTGTTGATTTTTAATCATTTCTTTATATTTGCCTCCTTCTTGTGCCATCAATATTTCATGCGTACCTTGCTCAATCACACCTCCACTATCTAATACATATATATGATGAACATTTTCAATTGTAGTCAAACGATGAGCAATCACAATAGTTGTACGACCTATTCATAGTAATGTATCAGAGTAATAAATAGAAACAAATGGGTACCTTGACATGCTCGATCAAGTGCTTCTTGGACAATTTTTTCGCTAGCATTATCAAGTGCACTAGTTGCTTCGTCCAACAAAAGTAAGGTAGGCTGTTTGACAAGAGCACGAGCTAAAGCAATACGTTGTTTTTCACCACCACTCAGTTGTATACCACGTTCACCAACGCATGTTTCGTATTTCTAAACAACAAAAATAATGATGTGTATATGTCGATAGAGATGAATGTTAAACGCAAACATTTGGTAATTGCATGATGAAATTATGTGCGTTTGCTTGCTCTGCTGCTTCTTCAATTTCTGCCTGTGTAGCATTTACTTTACCAAAACGAATATTTTCATAAACACTCATATCAAATAGAATCTATTCAATAGCGAACAGGAAAAAGAGAAAAGAAAAAAAAGGGACATACAGGCTCTTGACTAACGACCCCAATGTTTTGTCGAAGTTGCTTGAGATCGTAGTCTGTACTCAATCGACCATTAATTATAAGTCGACCCGATGAAGGCTCATAGTAACGAAGAAGAAGTGATATACATGTACTTTTTCCTGTGAATGGTTTATCATCAATGAATAAAACATTACAATACGACCTCTATCTTGAAAAAGACTTACCACAACCACTTAAACCTACAAGAGCTGTCGTTTGACCAGCACGAGCAATAAAATTGAGATTATTCAAAACAGATACACCTTTTCGAGATGGATAAATAAAGTTGACATTGTCAAATTCAATATCACCATTGATATCAACTGAATCTTCGTTTGATCTACTCTTTTTCCATATTTCTGTTTCATTTATACCTGCCATTTGTGCCTATCTCATGTACACAAATAAAAGACATCAGATTCATCATAAGACATAGATGTACTCTATTATACCTCGTCAATCAGTTGAAACACTTGTGTTGCTGCACCTCGAGCTTCAGAAAATGATTGAAAGAAAGAACCAATAAAACTGACATAATACATGCATTGTGAAAAGATACAAACAATCTATACGAAGATAGTAGTCATGTGTTATTTTCCTTATTGGCTCCTAGTATGAAACACTTACGACAAGGATATCACTGATACTCAATGTATTATGGTTTTCATAAGACATTAGAATAGATCCAAAGATCAAACCAACTGCATACACTATATATGTAAGAAGAGACAACCAACCCATAAAAACACCGAATATAGCACCTTGTCGAACACTACTCCAACGAGTTAGATGCAATTCTCTTTCATATCTAAACCCAATGGATATAATAATAATATTTTTTGTGATAATCTTCAGAAAAACTATCTTTAAAGATTGTTTTATACCGTTTTTGTTCAAATTTGCTACCATTAAGTGAAAGAACAGTTCGGAGTGAACTAAACACTTCTTGAACAATGCGTCCGGCTTTCGAATATGTATTCAATTCCTTCATTGCTTCATGAGCGATAATCTGTGACAAAATCGATACAAGTTCAATCGATCGATATTATAATACATACTTTTGAAAATATGAATGATGCACCAGTAACCAAAGGTAAAACACATAGCATGATCAAAGTCAATAACCAATTGACAATGAAAGATGCTACTAAGCTACCGACGATGGCGAGTAACGTTGCAATCAAAAACAAAAATTCAATACCCATGCCTTGCTCAATCTTTACTATGTTGCTATAAAAGAATTGCATTTTAATGAAGTTATTTGACTTAAAATATTGCAATAATTTACTCAAATAGTTTAGAACTGATTTTACTGATCGAATTTGTATCCAAATAAGAAATATTCTAAAACAGATGAAAAAAATAAAAGCAATGGGAGTTTTTGCACGAACAGCAGAAGTATTGAAATAGCTGAGATAATCCATATTCTCTTCGATATCCTTTCAGATTTTCATGATCTGAACTTAACGATCTCCTGAAATATTTATATCTTCGGGATTTCTAACAGTATCAATGCGTAAATAAGCAAGAGTCGTTCAGTTGTGTGGATGTGAATATATAAATATGTGGCCACATCCTTTTTTCTATTTGTTTTTCTTCTATGTCCATCTTTCTTGAACATCTGTTTTGTAATATGAAAATAGAATCCATGATTGTTGCACCCCAGACAGATGCTCTTTCGACGGTTGCTTATTAGACACTTGTATCTGCAACATTTTCTTTCCTACTGCTCTTGGTTACAACTATAAGCAGTCAAAAAACCATTTGAAGAGTGCTAAAATTAGAAGTAGATCTTATCATTATCCTCTTCACTTCTCACCCTCAAGGTAGTCTTCCTGTTCTAGATTTTTGTCTAGAAGAGTCTGATGAATGTATTCTCCCTAGATACTTCTCGCATAGAGAAATTTCATCATACATTAAACAATCATTTGCGTGAACACTTGTTTATGCGCCCCATTAGAATGAATATTTCTGTGTTTTTTTTAGATAAAAAAGATCTATTTATGCAGAATATTTCTAATAAATTGTCGATTATTGGATTTTTCTGTAAATACTTTTCAACATCGGAATAAACAGCATGAGTTGCTGACATTTAACGAAGACAAACAGTAACTTCGAATTTTTATAGCGTTTCCCTCGTTTGAATGTTTTTTTCTCG